AATAATAAATAATAATAATTTTTTTAATAAAGAAAAACGAGCACGTTGATAGGATTTGGAGTAAAATTTTTTAGTATAATCTTGAATAGATGACTGAGAAGGAAATTGGTGGCCGAATTTTATATATATAATCCCAACTTTTTACTTTGACGAGTGGCCAATGGGAACTGGTCAAATTTGGTTTGTTTGAAATAGTTGTTGATGGGGTTGAAATAATTGAGATCCTATTTAGATTTAGGAGAACATTTAATGTATCCGATCAATGAACCATGGCGTCTCCAACGCTATTTGTCCCCATTATTAATGTTTTCCTTCCACCGTACCAGCTACTGCAATGCAAATTATGCTTCTTTGTTCCTAGGATAATCCGGTCTGTAATAATACGTACCAGCGCTCGTATTGCATAGCCAAATTATTTGACCCTTTTTTTAAACAAATAAATAGAAATTATATTTATAATACAATTTTTAAATAATTCACATAAAAAATTTTAGTTGGGGAAAACGGATGATATATAAGTTTCCGTATCTAATCTCACTTGAATTTATATAAGATTTTTATATAATATAAGAAAATAATTAAAAGGGTTTTTTTAACATACAAATTAAGTATTTTTTTATAAATATATAAAAAAAATATAAAAATTGATATTAATTTTATTGTTCATACTAAGTTAATAAATTTAATTGAATAATTAATTAATAAATGTTAATTTTTATTTTTTTAATAAAAATTTATATTTATTACATTTTAAATTTATACCCTAACAACATATATTAAAAAAACCTTAATAAAAATATGGCAATCTCAACCCTTATGCAATCCTTAAATATATAAATCTTGACAATTAATTAAGGAGATCACGTGAAAAGATTGACTTTTTATTGTGTCATTTTTTTAAATTTATTAAAAAAATATTTTTAAATTTAATATCATAGAGAATTAATAAATACTACAGCTCTTATGAATTAATTGGTTATAATGAAATTTCTATTAGAAGTTAAAAAAGATAAAAATCTTTATTAAAATTAAAAAAGTTAAAAAAATAATGATTACATAAATTTCAGAGTGACAAGACATTTCTATGAAAACCCTAAAAAGTCCGCCGCCCAAGAAAAAAATGAAAGATAGAGTATGGTTTCTTTTTGAAGAGGAAGGAGGCGGAGAAGGGGTTTTTTCACTTTCTTCGTTCGACGAGTATTTTTATTTCGACAAAAAGACTGTTTTACTAAGAAAAATCATACTAATAGTTGTAAGTTGGTTATCATTTTTTATTTGTCGTCGTATCATAATATAAGTAGATAGGCAGTAGGTTCAATAATCAATATCAAACGGGTAGAATGCATATCAAATCATTAGATTTATCTGAGTAAAAAACAGTTAATTGGATAATTTTTTTTCAATTTGTCTTTCTTTTGATTTATCACTGAAAAATGGCGGTAATGATTTTATATATGGAGAGTTTTCAAAGACAGAGATGAATGATCCAAAAGACAAAACGATCATGTCATTATTTCAATCTAGAACATTTCAACTGATCATCTTTATATATTACCAAAGTCAAAAGTGTTGATTAGAAGGATACAAGTTTATTTTTAAAAAACAAGCGTTTTTTAAATTTTACTAAATAAACTAAAAATGAGACGGCAAATTCAATCTTGTAGTTCTTTCGGTCCTTGTTCAAATATTTAGACTAAAGACCAAATTCAGATCAAATATTAGCCCATCATCAAAACATAGTTGGTTAAACTCTTAATTTAGTCTCTTAATTATTATATAAACTTTTAAATTAATATCTTAACTAAGAGAGTCTTTGATTTGATCTTTAAAATTTTGAAATGTGATTTTCAATTAGTTTTTTTATTAAAAATAATTGATGTGTCATGTTACTAATGTAACACATGAATGTCAAGTAACAATTTTATATCATCAAATAACAAACATGTTAGTTATTTTTAATCTAAAGAGCAATTTAAAGTCAAATTTAAAAATTTTAAAAATGAAATCACAAATTTGTTTGATTTAAGGACCAATTTAAAAATTTATAAAATAATTGAATGACCAAATTAAGAGTTTAACCGATATAGTTTAGGACCTTAGGTGACTAGGGAAGCCCAAATTCATACATTGGGCCTTTTGTGACCCAGATCTCATTGAAAAACTGAAAGATTGGCTCAGTTGGACTGGACCCAAGTAGATCCAAAGGTCCAAAGACTAGCCCAGCTCAATGCCACAATCTCTTTCCTGAAACTAAAACACTTCCCTTTCATCAACTCCTGGGTTTAGGATGTTGATGGTCCACGCGCCGATGGTTCTAACCTCCGGCTTCAAAATCCGGGTTTCGCCATGACGATTGGAGGGAGAGTTCGCCGCGTTGGGCATGCTTCCAACGAAACAATCCGGAGTTCAGAGGGTATGGCGACTAACAAGTGCTCTCTGACTTCTTCTTCCAAATTGATTGTTAATCCTCCCTTGAATCTTTCCCTGTTGTTAGAGTGGTTTCTCCCAATCACGTGGATATTCAATTGATTGTGGCTTCTATGGTTCAAATTGGTTGGAGGATGGTGGACACATAACGTTTTTTGGTTATGTTTTGAATTTTTGATTGAATCTTTTTATTTCATTGTACACTGGGAATCTTATCTATTGTATACATCTATCTGGAGTACAATTGTTATAATATTGGACAGTGATACATACACCCATGAACCGGCACCCATTTTTACACCCAAATTGGTTTAAACAGTAAAATTACAAATTTACCCTTCTCCCTAAATCTATTTCCCGCAGAACAAATCCCAACAAAACTCAAGGATTCAAGCACATTCAACAACCAAATCTCAGCAAAATTCAAGCATTCAAGCACATTCAACAACCAAATCCCAGAAAAACTCAAGCATTTCACCAAATCCATCCATCCAAAAAAGAAAAAAAATCAGAATTTCTCTGGTGAGAACCCAGGTCGGGTTCCCACCGTGAGAACCCGAGCTGGGTTCTCTGAGAACCCAGATCTGGGTTCTCACCAGAGAACCCAGCTCGGGTTCCCACCGAGCTGGGTTCTTTGGTGAACCCAGCTCGGGTTCTCAC